ACATAGTCATTACGCTAACTGCTTTTCCCTTCATGAATCTTTTGATTTCAGTCTTAATCTCCTCAATAGTCAGGAAGTCATTCAGAAGTAGGTTATTTCATTTCCGTGTATTTATGTATTTTTGAGGGTTTTTCCTGAGATTAATATCAAGTTTAATTCCATCATGGTTGGAGAACATGCCGGATATAGTTTCTATGCCTTCGAATCTGTAAAGGCTGTTTTTGTGCCCTATCGTGTGGTCAGTCTTCGAGAAAGTACCATGTGGGGCTGAGAAAAATGTATATGTTTTGATTTGGGGTTGGAAAGTTCTATAGATGTCTGTCAAGTCCATCTGATTTATGGTATCATTTAGGTCCTGGATCTTTTTGCTTATTTTTGTCTCATTGACCTGTCTAAAGAAGATAATGTGGTGCTGAGATCTCATACAATTATTGTGTTACAGTCTATCTCTCCTTTTAGATCTCACAGTCTTTCCTTTACATATTTGGGTGCTCCTAAATTTGGTGCATAGATATTTATAAGCATTATATCTTCTTGGTGAATTAGCCCTCTCACTACTATATAATGCCCTTCTTTGGCTCTTCTTACAGTTTTCGTCTTAAAACCTATTTTGTCTGAAATCAGTATAGCGACTTGTGCTCTTTTCTGGTTTCCATTTGCATGGTTTGTCTTTTTCCAGCTCTTTACTTTTAGTCGATGTATGTCTTTATCCATGAGATGGGTTTCTTGTAGGCAACAGATGAAGAGTTTCTGATTTTTAATCCAATCCACTGGCATATATCTCTTGATAGGAGAATTTAATCCATTAACATTCAATGTTACTATCGATATTTCCAGACTTGTCCCTAAAATTAAGTTGGCCATATTCTTGGTTGTTTTTTGTTCTCTTGTTGATGTCTCTTTAGTTTTCTTGGTATAGTACTCCCTTCAGAATTTTTTGAAGAGCTGGTCAAAAGTTGGTAAATTTTATCAGGTTTTGTTTTATCCAAGAACATTTTTATTTTCTTTTCCCATATGAAGGATAATCTTGCTGGTAAAGTATTCTTGGTTGAAATTGCTTTTCATTTAACACTTTGAATATATTTCCACATTTTTTTTTCCTGCCTCAGGTTTATTCGTACACACAGGAGGACACCAGTCCCACATAGAGAGCACCCCTGGGGGGGCGGGGGTCACCAGTCCTTCTGTCCTCATACTGGCAAAGGTCTCTACTACAGGGCTTTTGTGGGGGCTTGGATACCTTTGGGAGCCTGAGCTGGAGCTGGAACTGAAGATGGAGCTGCACCTGATGCCTGAGCTTTGGTCTGGGTCTTGGTCTGAGCCTTGGCCTTGTTGGCCTTTGGCCGAAAGAGCCTGAGGCCCTTGACGATACGGGCGCGAGCACGTTTCCCAAGCTTAAGATGGGCAATGTAGGCAAGACAACTGAGCTTGCGGCTGCTGCCCTTTGGGACACCCTTCTGAACCTCCTTGGACTTTATGAGGGTCTTGATGGCCTCCGCTTGCGCACTCATGGCCTTGGCGTTGTTGGCCTGCATCTTCTTCAGACCCTTCCTCTTGTGCTTCTTGGCAAAACACATGTTGCTCAGGAATTTAGGGTCCACCCCTTTGAGAGATTCATATCTTTGTGATCGAGGTTTCTTGATGCCATTTTTATGCCGTTTTCGGGACTGGTTGTGTGTGGTGTGGTTCTTGGACTTGGCCGTGTCTGCACCAAAACCCACGTCTGCCAAGGAGCCTGGGACCAGAAGAGAAAGAGCTCCCCATTCTTTCCTTGCTTGCATTGTATCCCATGAGAGATCCGGTGTTATCCTGATGTGATAGCCTTTGTAGGTGATTTGACGTCTCTCTCTTGCCAATCTTAGTATTTTGTCTATGTCTGTTGTTTTGGTCAATCTAGCTATAATATGCCGTGGAGAAGATCTTCTTGGATTGATTCTACTTGGGGTTCTTTGTATTTCTTGGGTCTATATGTTTGAATGCCTCTCTAGATTTGGAAAGTTTTCTTCCAGGATTTTGTGGAATAGATTATCCATGCTCTTATTAGATTCTTCACCTTCTGGGATACCAGCTATTCGTATATTTGGGCATTTATGGTATCTAGTATTTCTCATATATTATCCTGGGTTTTCTTGACTGTTTCCTCAGTACTTTTGATAATTTTTTCTAAGTTAGAAGATTTGTCTTCTACTTCTGAAATTCAATCTTACGCATGGTCTAATCTGCTTTTAATACCTTAGAGGGAGGTTTTAATTTCCCATATTATAGCCTTCATATCTAACAGTTCCGTTTGATTCTTTTGATTCCATTTGATTCTTCTTTCATATTGTGGAAGGACTTCTCATCTCTTAGAGCTCAATGTCTCTTTTCCATTTCATAGAATTTTGTTACCATAAATATTCTAAATTCTTTTTCTGACATTTTGATAATATCCTCAAATATTTCCCTACTTGGAGACGAGTTACAATGTTCCCTTGCCAGAGATGTATTACTTGATTCTCTCATCCATGAGACTCTTCTCCAATTTTCAGTCATTTGGTAATGTATTCACTTGTGCTTAATTTGTTGAAGAAGGATTCTGTAATTTGAGCTCATGTGTTTCCCTTACTGTGAAATATTTTGGTGCTGTTTTCTTCCTTCTAATGTGTTCTCCAATGTGGGAAAAACAGGAGAAATTTTGCAATCAGACTTATGAAGAGGAATTTCCTATTTTTCAACCACTACAGTGAGGTGCAAAGAATTCTCTAAAACTCAAAATGTTCGGATGTTTAGCTACTATGTACCATAGCCATCTCTAGGAGGTGGGTAAGGGCTGAGCAGTAAAACAGAAGAGTATGGTAAAAGAAAAAGAGTAGGAAATAGAGGAATAAAAAGCAAAGAAGAAAGAAGAAAAGTACTACAAGAAAAAGAGGGGAAAAATTAGAAATCATGTCACAGAAAATGAAATTGGGTTAAAAATGGAAATCTGTGCAGTGCTCAAAGCCCAACACAGGCAGAGGTGGAGAAGCCTGGAGGCTTTCTGCCCTGAGTGAGGGAAGAAGAGATAAATTAACAAGAGAAAGGTACAAACAAGGCAGAAAGCTGGGTTTTTTGTTTGTTTGTTTGTTTGTTTTTGTTTTTAAGAGAAATAAAAGTTAGACATTGGGTATTTGACTAGCACTGGGGTCTGGTAGGATGGAGAGCCCTGGGAAAGGGGAGGTTTAGGGGCTTCATAACCCTGAAGCTGAACCCAGAAGCCCAACACAGACAGTGGTGGAGAAGTCTGGAGGCTTTCTGTCCTGACTAGCACTGGGGTCTGGTAGGATGGAGAGCCCTGGGAAAGGGGAGGTTTAGGGGCTTCATAACCCTGAAGCTGAACCCAGAAGCCCAACACAGACAGTGGTGGAGAAGTCTGGAGGCTTTCTGTCCTAGGTGAGGGAAGAAGAGATCCAGGGAAGACCTTTTCTAATGAGTGTTTTCTCGGCCATGGGACCTGCTCAGGGATGAAAGCTTAAGGTCTTCTCAGTTTGTTTTTTTTTTGTTTTTTGTTTTTTCCTGAACCTGTACCTTTCCTGAACATGTATCTCTCTCTTTTCTTCTCGTCTCATCTTCCTCTCTCCCTCCCTTCCTCTCTCTCTCTCTCTATCTTAATTTCCCAGTCTCACCTGGTTTCTTAGGTCCTTAGATATTCAGTTAGGTTGTTGGAAAAGTCATGACATATTTTTCTATGCAAGAATGAGTTGTGACTTTCCCAACAACCCAGTAGTATATCCCTACACTGCTCATCGCTTTCTCTAGGCCTCTAAGGGTCTATAATCCCTGCAGCTTTCATAAGTAGCACCCACTGCTGTGTCTCCCACCGATCCTGGCTCTAAGTCAGGCAAAATCACCCAGTTCCACATGCAGCGCCAAGACAGGTTAGGATATTTTAAGTAAGATCTGTTCTGCTCCCTCCAGTTTGAGGAAGGGAACTGAGATCTGAACCATTTCTTTCTTCAGACCATGCCTTGCCACAGGTGAAAAAAAAACACCAGAACATTGACAAGTATCTGTGTATACTGGAGAAAAGAAAAACTTAACACACACTCAGCAAGACACATGTCAGAAGAGACCTGAGAAGCTTTCACCTTGGGCCAATCTCAAATTTCCTACCATAGTAAATGTGGTCTTTATCTTGATTCAGTGTTTCTCTTGGTTGTTAGTTACTGTTGGCATCTATAAATTTATTTTAGTCAGTCTGTAGTTTTTTTTTTTAATGTTTCCATGGGTGAAATGAGGTCTTTGAGAGTCCTAGTTCATCATTTATGCTGGTAGACTCGGTCCTTAATTCTTTATTCTGTTTATCCTTTCAGGAGTCAAGAATCAAGACAAGATGCAAACTCTTCATGAAGCAAGATTAAAATGCCTTTCACTGGGAGAGCTTTCATGCTGGCAAATCAAGAGACATGTTGTGAACGAATTAGCCAGGAATCAAGACTCCATGATAAATATTCAAGGAAAGAGTTCTCAGTTCTCTAAGCAATGCGATTCCCCTTGTCAAGTGGGAACAGGAGAATCTATTCAGACCCCCATAGATGACAGCCATTTAGTGAATCAAGAATTTCCAACTGGAAGAACTCCGAATTCTTGTAGTAAAGTATATCTGAGTGAGACACAGAATCATCAGAGAAGTTGTAAGCAGACTCAGATGAAAAACAAATTATGCATATTCGCTCCACGTGTTGACATGTTAAGTTGCATTTCACATCACCATGGTGATACCGTTCTGCACAAAAGAGATAAAGCTTGTAGCAACAATGATCGTGGTAAAGACATCTTAAAGGTATTACCTCTTACCCAGCATAGTATTCACACAGGACAGAAAACCTGCCAGTATACTGAACATGAAAAAGCCTTCAGAGCTAGCTCTAGTCTTGAACTTCATCAGCAGGTACGTGTGGGAAACAAGTCTCCTCCACATAGTACACTTGAAAGGGACAGTAGTTACAGCTCAGCTATTTCCATTCAGCAAAATGTTCGCACAGGAAAAAAACGCTATTGGTGTCATGAATGTGGTAAAGGTTTCAGTCAGAGCTCAAATCTGCAAACTCATCAGAGAGTCCACACAGGAGAAAAACCCTATACATGCCCTGAGTGTGGTAAGAGCTTTAATCAGAGCTCACATCTTTATGCTCATTTGCCTATTCACACAGGAGAGAAGCCCTATAGATGTGACAGTTGTGGGAAGGGATTCAGTCGTAGCACTGACCTTAACATTCATTGCAGAGTTCATACTGGAGAGAAACCTTATAAATGTGAAGTGTGTGGAAAGGGCTTCACTCAGAGATCACATCTTCAGGCCCATGAAAGAATCCACACTGGCGAGAAACCATATAAATGTGGGGACTGTGGTAAACGCTTTAGTTGTAGCTCAAATCTTCATACTCATCAGAGGGTTCATACTGAAGAAAAGCCGTACAAATGTGATGAATGTGGTAAATGCTTTAGTTTGAGCTTTAATCTTCATAGTCATCAGCGAGTCCACACAGGAGAGAAGCCGTACAAATGTGAAGAGTGTGGTAAAGGTTTTAGTTCAGCCTCAAGTTTCCAGAGCCATCAGAGAGTTCATACAGGAGAGAAACCATTTCGATGCAATGTGTGTGGTAAAGGCTTCAGTCAGAGTTCCTATTTCCAGGCCCATCAGAGAGTCCATACTGGAGAAAAACCATACAAATGTGAAGTATGTGGGAAGCGCTTCAATTGGAGCTTGAATCTTCACAATCATCAGCGAGTCCACACAGGAGAGAAACCCTATAAATGTGAAGAATGTGGTAAAGGTTTCAGTCAAGCCTCAAATCTTCAAGCTCATCAGAGTGTTCACACTGGGGAAAAACCATTCAAATGTGATGCATGTCAAAAGCGATTCAGTCAGGCTTCACATCTTCAAGCCCATCAAAGAGTCCACACTGGAGAGAAACCATATAAATGTGATACGTGTGGTAAAGCCTTCAGCCAGCGGTCAAATCTTCAAGTTCATCAGATCATTCACACTGGAGAGAAACCATATAAAGGTGATACGTGTGGTAAAGCCTTCAGCCAGCGGTCAAATCTTCAAGTTCATCAGATCATTCACACTGGAGAGAAACCATATAAAGGTGATACGTGTGGTAAAGCCTTCAGCCAGCGGTCAAATCTTCAAGTTCATCAGATCATTCACACTGGAGAGAAACCATATAAAGGTGATACGTGTGGTAAAGCCTTCAGCCAGCGGTCAAATCTTCAAGTTCATCAGATCATTCACACTGGAGAGAAACCATTTAAATGTGAGGAGTGTGGGAAAGAATTCAGTTGGAGTGCTGGCCTCAGTGCTCACCAAAGGGTCCACACAGGAGAGAAACCTTATACATGCCAGCAGTGTGGGAAGGGCTTCAGTCAGGCTTCACATTTTCACACACATCAGAGGGTCCACACTGGAGAGAGGCCTTACATATGTGATATCTGTTCTAAGGGCTTCAGTCAGAGATCACATCTGGTCTACCATCAGAGAGTCCATATTGGAGGGAATCTGTAGACCTATGAGGTTTGGTATAGCCTTCACATCTTCATCCTCACTGGAAAGTTCATGGTTATGATTGTGAAAGGTCCTTTAGAACTGGGCTTCAAAGGATCTTTGTAGGAAAGAAATTTTGTAGCTGTTTTAAGTACTCAGTTGACAGATGACTTCTTCACAAACATCTGGTTTTGTAGCTGTGGGAAAAAAAAAAAAACCTTTTCTATAAATATGATCTGTGTTTTTACCAGAGTTCCAAAGTGTCCCAGTTCTTAAGATGTGACACATCAGAAGAATGACTTTTATCAGAATCTCCCCAGGAGATAGAATATGTAAATGAAGATGATGTGCAGGACTTTAGCAAAAGTATAATTGACAAAATTGTCAACCAAAGTGTAGCCTCTATGTAGGGAGAGGTTTTTCTCTACTCTATTTCTACCGTGTAGAACTGGGTTTGGCTTGTACTAGGGCCAAGCAGTTACTAAATGTGGAGAAAATCTCTGTAACTAAGACAAATACTTAAGACTTTAGTCAGTTTCCTATTTCATGTTAATTTATATTCAGAAGGAATTTTGGAAATAGCCTTAACATTAGTTTCAGGATAAAGTACAGAAGATCATGTGATAATGAACGGAAGAGTTATGAATGGCTCCCAAATCATCCAGCTTTAGTTCTTTTGTACAGAGTATCAACTGTGCACATTGTAATTTTTAGTATCATTAGTTTGTACTTTATTAGATTGAAAAATACTGTTTTTTATAAACCTCATAATGTGACAGCATTTTACAGGATTGGAATTTTGGGACCCTAATTCATTACAGGGATTATTATAACTGAAAGTATTAAAAGTAGTTACTGATGACGGGAAGTTTCTTAGTAAACTTGAATTGTTAATCATTGGTTTCTCTTTATTTATGTTCAGGCTTAGGTCAGATTGCCTGCCTACATGCAGATTTCTGTTCAGCTCTAGGGCTTGACAGTTTCAAGACTGTTAGGTTTGTCACATTCCTCACTCCTATTGATAATTTTCCCCCTAAAATGGGGGACAGGAAAGAAAATCTGTTGAGTTTTCTTTGAAATTTCATAGAAATGGATTACCATTCATACAGCATTCTGTATTCAATATTCTTTTGCTTTGAGTGAACAACATAAGCTTTGTGGAGATTAACTGGTCAATATGTAGAAAAATATTCTTTTTAAAATATTGCCAGAAGGGACCAGCAGGTGGCATGGTGCTTAAGGTGCTGGACTCCCACATGAATGACTGCAGTTCAAGTCCCAGACCTTGAAAATTACTCTGGGCACATGTGCATGAGTGCCCAGGGTCCAGAAGGAGAATAAAGGAGAAGGAATTATGACATGGCCTTCTCCTCTGTCTCTCTGGTGAGCATATGCATCCTATGGCAAAAAAACTAAGTATCATATGTGTTTCTGTTTTTTTGCCAGTGGGTGCATGTACTTGTGGAGGTGGGGGAGAAAGCACCGCTCCTCCTTTTCTCCATCCTGTCATGATTTTGGGGACTCCCAGCTTATTTTTCAAGCCAACAGGGTTGGCATTTGAACTTCAGTCACCATATGGGATCCAGCTCCCTTAACCCCTAGGGTACAGGGCCATCTTTTGATCTGGTAGTCTTAGCACTACAGATTTTACTTCAGAGGTTATAACAGATGACAAAAGGTTTACACAAAGACATTTAATTCTAAACTCAAAAAAATGAAAGAAATATCAGTCAAAGACTTGAACAGATCCTTATTCCAATAATACCTACAACCATAAAAATGATAAAGATCTATAATGCAGGAAAAGAGCTCACATTACTCATGAGAAAACCAGAATAGAGCATGCCTAGTATGATCTGGTTAATAAAAGTCTGCATACCTAAAGGTGATTATATGCATAGGAATAATGTCCGCATAACCATTAATATGGCAACAGTAGTTTGCTCTGGCAGGGAGTTATGGGAAAATTTTTTATTAACTTTTCAAAAAATTTACAGTGACTATCACTAGCTCTACGCAAGCAGTAAAACGTGAGACAATTATGCATAAATCAAAATTCCTTCGAGCTAGACCTTAATTTCATTAACTCATCATATAGTATGTAAACCTGTATTGTGGATGTATCTAAAAGGTGGTTGGTTCTTTGTTGTATTGACAGTAATAGCAAGCTTTGCATTCATCAGTTGAATTACCAAAATATTCTATGGCTTATCCATCCAGTGGAATACCATGCAGAATGAAACAGAGAGAAGGTAAGCAGTTATTAACATTGGTGGGTATCTAGAATGTGTTTAGAGAAGTGAGCAGACAGAATTTTGTGTGACTGTACATATATGTGTATGTATATACATTTGTCCCTCAGTATCCACTGGGGGGGGGGTTGGTTCCAGCACACCCTCACCCCATACCAGAGTTTTCAGAGGTTTGTTCCTTACATAAATGCACATCCCGCCATATTCTTTTTTTTTCTATTTGAGAAGAGTAAGTGCAGAAGGTGGGGAAGTATTTTTGACAGTCTTGTCATTGCTATCCTTTGTGCCAGCATCTTCTCCAGGATTAGACAAAACTACCCTCAGCCTGTCCAGGTTGGTCAGGATCCAAACCTGGAGCTCTCATGTGGCCCCAGGCTTTCAGCAGTGCGTTACCACTTGTGCCACTGTGGCTGGTCCCTCCTGGTATACTTTAAATCTATATTACTTATGTAGCACCTAATACAATGTGTATGTGTTGATAGTTATGTACATTGTTTAGGGAATAGAGAAAAAGTCTACATGTTCAGTATAGATACAACCATCATAGGCCTAACTGCACAGTACGTGTTGGCAACAGCATAACATTTTTGATCTGCAATTGCTTGAGTCCATGAATGTGGAACCCATGGATATGGAGGACTGACTATCCAGGGGGACTTTAAAAAATTCATAGGAAAATAGAGTTAAAGGAAGATAAACTAAAGTGAAGTTAAAATAAAGATGAAAAATATTTTTCTCAACCTAAACTCCATCAAGTTTGACAGTTAAAATCATCTTTTAAGAGAGAGAAGGCATCCCACAATGGGTGCCACGGTCTCTTTTCCTCCAGTTCTCTGTCCCATCAGGCTTTGGACATGCCTCCACAAGCCCAGCTTAAAGCCGACGGCCAGAATTCAAACCCCAGTTGGCCATGTACTATCCAGCTCCCTCTAAGGCTAGGCCACAGGGCTAGGTAGCTCAAGTTCAAAACACTTCTGTAACCCGTGACACCAACCGTTTAGTCCATCCTAAAGAGCTGAGGGTCCTGGGAAGTTAATGTTACAACAGTCTTTTTCATCTTAGTATTAATCGTCAGAAGGCATGTGTGTTTGCCTGAGAGACAGCAATGGAGAAAGACCAATGGGGCATAGTTACGCCACAATCCCTTCACTAGAAAGCATTATGACTTGCCTGAGACAGCAAGTTATAGCTAGGAGACGCTCCATTACTGGCAAAAGATGAGCAAGAAACCTTCAAAAGCTTCCATCATCACTGTGGACGATGCACTCCTGTCTGCCTAGGGGCCTAGTGCTCCTTATGGCCCAGAAGAGGGAAGCTGAAATCCTTGTGGCTAGATATTTCCATGAAGAAACAGCCAGGGTAACTTCTTCAGGACCCAACCTGCTACAAACTGCCATTTTGAAAACGGCCACTACTAGGGTACAACCTGTACTGAGGACTAGTGGCCCCCAGATCTTCACGATACACTCTGCTGAAATCCCACCAAACCCACATGGGGACTGACTGGCACCTCCAGCTAGACTGAGCAGTACGGTCATGACCCCAGCGGCCAAGCTCACACAGGACCGTACACTCCAGATGTAGGTGGACCAGCACAGGAGGAGGGGTGCTCATAGGAACAGATGAACTGACTTTGGAGCTCCCCCCAGGGTCTGTCAGCCTCCTCTCTGACCCACTCTGAGCCCAGCACACAACACAACCCCAGTGTGCAGGTGCCTCCAAGCCCTGTTGGCCTTACCCATGACCCTTTCTGAGCCTGGCATGCACCACAGCTCCAGCAAGTTCTTATTCTCTGTGGAATTTCTCAGCTCTCCCAATCGCCTCCCCTGATTCATTCTGAGTCCAGCACATGCTGCAGTTGGAATGCAGACACCTCCCTCCTGCAGGAGCCTCCCAGATTGCCTTCTGCTGCTTCTGATGCACTGAGCCCAGCACATGAGCCCCTGCTCCCTGTTGGAGACCCACAGGCACCACTGCCCTCCAATTGTGACCAATGCAGAACTCAGTGCCCACTACAACCCTAGCATAATGTCCTCCACCCCCATGACGTTGCAAGCCTACACTGCTGACCCTGCTGTTTTCAGTGAGTGCATGCTCCTTCTGCTACTTGGGCTGACAAGCTCCCGCAGAGTTTGCTAGCCAGCACCCCCATTACTTACTACTGCTTGGTGATCTCCAACCCTAACAAAACTGTGCCAGTCCCACCATAAGCGATTACTACCTAGGACATGGAATCACTCACAGAAACCACTGGCAGTGAATGCAGCTGAAGAACACCTAGAGACCACACTACTACACTCACTCAACCCAAACCAAAACTTCTCAACTAAACAACACTACGGGACACACCCTCAGAAAAAAGAATCTTCCACTAAAAACGCCACTCCATAAAATTGGAAGAGACAACTATCCCACCAGTTGTGTAGATATAAACCTAGGGACATAGGGACATGAAAAGGCAAGGAAATATGACATCCCCAAAGGAACATAATTATACACTAGTAGATACCAAAGAGAAAGGAATCCTTGAAAATTCCTGAAATTTTTTAAAATAATTCTAAGGAATCTCAACAAGATACAAATGAATGCAGATAATTCAACAAAATTTAAAACAAAAGTACAGAATGAGAAATTCAAGTGATAGAAATTCTTTTTTCTTTTTTTGGAGAGGTTTTTGCTATAGGGCGTGTGTGCTCGCCAGAGAGAGAGAGACAGAGGGACAGAAAGCGAGAAATCACCCCCCAGGGGGGATGGCCACGCCGCAATCCCTTCTCCTCCATTCTCCTCTCGGGATCTTGGGCATGCACGCACACTGGCCCAGCGGGAGTTTTAAGCCACCAGGTCCAGGACGTGAACCATGGTCAACTACATGGGAGTTCAGTCACATAG